TTTCTGGTGGAATTTTTTGAATCCTCCAGGTATAGAATCATATCGTCAGCAAATAGTGATAGTTTTGAGTTCTTCTTTTCTTATTCTTATTCCTTTAATTTCTATCTAGTTGCTCTGGCTAGAATCTGAAGAACCATGTTGAATAGAAGTGGTGAAAGAGGGCATCCTTGTCTTGTTCCAGTTTTTAGAGGGAATGCTTTCAATTTTTCTCCATTGAGAATGATGTTGGTCTGGGGCTTAGCATAGGTTACTTTTGCAATGTTGAGATATGTTCTTGTTATCCCTAGTTTTTCTAGTGTTTTGAACATGAAGGGGTGCTGTATTTTGTAGAATGCTTTTTCTTCATCTATTGAAATGATCGTATGATTCTAAGTCTATTGATGTGATAAATTAGCGTTACTGATTTCCATATGTTGAACAAACCTTGCATCCCTGGGATGAACTCCACTTGATCATGGTACACTATCTTTTTGATATGTTTTTATATATAATTTGCCAGAATTTTGTTGAGAATTTTTGCATCTGTGTTCATTGGAGATATTGGTCTGAAGTTTTCTTTCTTTGATGCATCTTTGCCTGGTTTTGGAATCAGGGTGATATTGGCCTCATAGAATGAGTTTGGAAGTCCTCTCTCTTTGTCTGTTTTATAAAATAATTTGGGAAGTATTGGTATTAGTTGTTCTTTGAAAGTCTTGTAGAACTCAGCTGTGTATCCATCTGGTACTGGGTTTTTCTTGTTTGGTAGGCTTCTGATGACATCTTCTATTTCATTGCTTGAAATTGATCTGTTTAACTTTTGTATATCATCCTGATTCAGTATGGGCAAATCATATGACTCTAGAAATTTGTCAATGCCTTTGATATTTACCATCTTACTGGAGTACAAATTTTCAAAATAATTATCTTCTGTGTTTCTTTAGTGTCTGTTGTGATATTTCCTTTTTCATCATGGTTGTTAGTAATTTGATTTTTCTCTCTCCTTTTCATTAGCATGGCTAAGGGTTTATCAATTTTATTTATCTTTTCAAAGAACCAACTTTTTGTTTTGTCAATTTTTTCAATTGTTTCAATTTCATTGATTTCAGTTCTGATTTTAATTATTTCCTGTCTTCTCCTGCTTTTGGTGTAGATTTGTTCTTCTTTTTCTAAGGCTTTGAGATGTAATGTTAGGTCATTTATTTGTTGACTTTTTCTTCTTTTAAGGAATGAACTCCATGCAATGAACTTTCCTCTTAGTACTGCCTTCATAGTGTCCCAGAGATTTTAATATGTTGTAACAGTTTCTCATTTACCTCTAAAATTTTTTTAATCTCCTCTTTGATGTCTTTTACAACCCATTATTCAATCAGTAACATATTATTTAGTCTCTAGGTGTTGGAGTAGCTTCTGTTTTTTATTTTATCATTGATTTCTAATTTTATTCCATTTTGATCTGATAGAATGCAGGGTAGTATCTCTACTTTTTTGTATTTGATAAGGAGTTGCTTTGTGACATAATATATGTTCTATTTTAGAGAAGGATCCATGTGCTGTTGAGAAGAAAGTAAATTCACTTGTTGATAGATAAAATATTTTATATATGTCTGTTAAGTCTAAGTTATTGATTGTATTATTGAGTTTTATAGTTTCTTTTTTTTAGCTTTTGTTTGGGAGATCTATCCAGTGGTGAAAGAGTTGTGTTCAGATCACCCATAATTATTGTGTTGTGGTCTGTTTGACTCTTGAACTTGAGAAGAGTTTGCTTCATGAATGTACATGCTCTATTGTTTGGGGCATATATATTTATAATTGTTATGTCTTGTTGATGTATGGTTCCCTTAAGCAGTTAATCCCTTTTGATTAACTTTGGCTTGAAGTCAATTTTATTTGATATGAGAAAGGAAACCCCTGCTTGTTTCTGCAGTCCATGTGAGTGGTATTTTTTTTCCCAACTGTTGAGAGCCACAGCCGAAGGGGCCCCAGCAAACTTCCAGCTGCCAGCAATCCAGCTGCCGGCTGATGATTGGCTCACAGCGGCCCCAGCAACATCTAGCTGATTGGCTCCTCGGCCCCAGCAACATCTAGCTGATTGGCTCCTCTGCGGTGATGCTCATTGGACTGTTTCCCTGCCCTTTCAGACCACGGAGCTGCTCATTGGGGGACTTTTTGGCTCTGCCCACGTGACCCAGCCAATCGGCCTCAAGAGCAGGAGGATTGTGGGAGGTGGAAAGAAGCTTGTGGGGGGAGAGACAGGCTTGTGGAAAGCCGGTGGTGGCAGTTGAGGCTCTGAGGATTTTTCCTGAGAGGCTGTTTTGTTTGGCGTGTTTGGTTCTAAAAATAAAGTTAGTTTCTTTTGACAAGTGGCTTCTGATTGTGCCCAGCCAGACTGCGGCACCCAACCTTCATCGTCAGCCTGTGGATGTCTTTTCCTATGAGATGAGTCTCTTGCAGTCAGCATATTGTTGGGTCTTTTTTCTTTTTGTAATCCAAACTGCCAGTCTGTGTGTTTTGATTGGTGAGTTGAGGCCATTAATATTCAGGGTTATTATTGAGACATGATTTGTATTCCCAGTAATTTTTGTTTATTTTTGGTATTTAACTTGACTTGGTTTCTCATTTGATTGGTTTTCCTTTTAGTTTAATACCTCCCTTTGCTGATTTTCATTGTTATTTTTAATTTCCTCCTCCTGGAATATTTTGCCGAGGATGTTCTATAGTGCAGGCTTTCTAGTTGTAATTTCTTTTAACTTTTCTTTATCATGGAAGGTTCTTATTTTGTCATCAAATCTAAAACTTACCTTTGCTGGATATAAGATTCTTGGTTGGCATCTATTTCCTTTCAGAGCTTGGTATATGTTGTTCCAGTATCTTCTAGTTTTCAGAGTCTGGGTTGAAAACTCTGCAGATATCTTAATTGGTTTTCCCCTATATGTAATCTGATTCCTTTCTCTTGTGGCTTTTAAAATTCTCTCCCTATTCTGTATGCTAGGCATTTGCATTATAATGTGCCTTGGTGTGGATCTGTTGTGGTTTTGTACTTTTGGTGTCCTGTAAGCCTCTTGTATTTGATTTTCCAATTCATTCTTCATGTTTGGAAAATTTTCTGATATTAGTTCATTAAATAGATTGTTCATTCCTTTGGTTTGTAACGCTATGCCTTCCTCTATCCCAATAATTCTTAAATTTGTTCTTTTTATTTTATCCCATAATTATTGAATGTTCTGCTCATGGTTTCTTACCATCTTCACTGTATGGTCAACATTCTTTTCAAAAATTCCACATGTAAGAACTTCCCATAGTCATGAGCATATGCCAGTTGGCCCCTGCTTCCCATGATCCTCAAAGGCTTCTTTTCTGCAGCTCACTAGTGTTGGTGACACACAGATACCCTTACACAGCCTTCTTCCTTGCTACTTACTTCCTCTCCTTACAGTGAACAGAACACTGTCTTGGAGCTCAATTTCATCTTAGGCTGTCCCTTTCTCTCATTTACATCCTCTTTAAAGTCTTCTCTCCTGATAGTTTTTAACCAGTTATCTCTGAAATACTTCTCTCCTCTTTCTTTAGGAATCAAAAAAATTCCTAATTGTGATTGATTGGTGGAAGATCACTAAAATTATGCCTCTTTCAAGGGAAATGAAAGATACAAATTTTTAAATGGTCATTTGTAAAGCAAGTATCTGAAGAAGATTTATAGAGTGAAAGGAAAGTGACCAAGACACTAAAAGCGACCAAGAGATCTTTATTGCAGCAGTGAGAAAGAGAAGAGTGAGAGAGAGAGCCCAGCAGGAGAAGGTTTTTATAGCCCTTCTGCTGTGCTACCTAAATCTAATAGGGTCTGTGGGTTTGCAAGCTGCCTTGTTGGCATAAGGGGGATTAAGTGTTCAGCCTTGAGGGGGGAGTGGGGAGTGGGGAGTGGGAGAGTGTTCAGGCTTGAGCAGGGGGTGAAACATTCACCCTTGAGTGGGGGGTTTGAGCGGTTAACTTGAGGCAAACAGGCGATAAAGAACCAGACAGATGGGGGTTTGAGTGTCCAGGTAATCCTGCAGCTAACATTCGTTCAGCCTGCCCTGCACCTAACGTAGAGGACTTTGCTTCCTTATTCTCATTAAAATAATTTTCTTACTCAATTTTGTTTAGTTTCTAACATTAGAGATATAATGCTATTTTTCATAGGGAATATTTAAATTTACATAGAAACTTGAGCCACTGAAACCAGAAAGGGGTGTGGAGCAAGTAGACTCATTTTTAAACTATCTTGAGTATGCAGCAATCATTAACTAATTTTCTACAGGGAAAAGGCATATGTTAAAACCAATTAAAAAAAAAAAACTCTTTTTAAATTGGATATTTCTCATACATATTGGTCTATATGTATATATTTGATAGGTAAAAATTTACTTTTCCCTAAATCAGTATAATCCAGGATTCCACAAGGAATGTTTTTACAAAATACTAGTCCTTAAGATGTTCCTTAAGAGTGAAAAAAAAAAATCTTTATCATCAAATAATTTTGGTAGGGCTCTTATTGACCAGGTATTATTCTCAGAATTTTTCATAAATTATCTTATTTAAATCTGAAATGAACTTATAAGATACAAGTATTATTGTTTTGGAGGGGGGTTGTTTTTATTTTAATTTGTTATTTATGACAATGCATTACAATTCATATCACACATAACAGAACACAGTTTTTCACATCTCTGGTCGTACACAAAGTAGAGTCACAACATTTGTGTCTTCATACATGTAGTTAAGGTAATGATGTCCAACAAGTATTATTATTATCCTTCTTTTACAAGTACAGAAACTGGGGTTCAGAGAATTTAATAACTTACACAAGGTCACATGGCTAAAGCAGTAAGCAAGCATCTGAATCTAGGTAGTCCATTTACAAAACCTATATACAGTCTCTAGTCTGTGATCTTTAATGGGGGAAAATGTAAATTATGTCATTTATGAATGTTCAACTAGTGAAAGGATGCATTGTGTTTTAATATTTTATTATTTTTGTTGCAAAGATATTGCTGGAATTCCTCTGCCTCAAAACCTTAGTGGATACTCTTTGTTGCCATTATCATCAGAACCATCTAAGAATAAACGTAAAGTCAAAAACCTACGTCCTCCATGGATTCTGAGTGAATACCACGGATGCAATGTGAATGCTTCCACCTATATGCTTCGAACTAACCAATGGAAGTACATAGCCTATTCTGATGGTGTTTCAGTATTGCCTCAACTCTTTGGTAAATTAATTGATGTGTTTTTAAGTGTAATTTTATGCATGAGCTGACCTACATAGCACTGCTCAAGAGCTTCAACAATTATTGTTAAATAAATGAAAATCTGCTGCTTCTCCTGATGAGACAGGCTACAGAGGTTGCCCAAGGGAGGAGCAGCTTCCTTGCCAGTCAGCATGTGAATATTAGAGAAAGTGCTCTAAGTCTTTGAATCTGGATCTTATGATTGAAACCACCGCTTTCCCCAATCGGGGATCTTTTAATGCTCATTGTTCCATTTCCCAATCAGTAGTCACCACCTTGTTCTGAAGGATCAACACTTATCTCTTATGGACTAGACATTCTACATATATTATTTAACATGCATCCCAACCCTACAATATAGTACCATTCTCTTCATTTTACAGAGGAGGAGTCTAGGGGGGTCAAAGAAGTTCAGACACCTGTATAAGATCTCACAACTAAGAAGCAGCAGAACTGAAAGGTCAACCCCAGTCTGATTCTAAAAGCCATTTTCCTGCCACATTATAAAAATGGCTGCTAGCTTCCCTAGTCTATGAATTAATTTTTAAACAACATTTTTAGATTTAGGATTTTACTTATACTCTGTCCCATTTTAGCCATTATTAATATTTATTTCTGCCTAAGTTTCCTTCCTACTTACAAATGTCAAAATTATTAACTCAAAATAATTCTTCACTGGCCAAACCTGAGTAACTGCCTTAACTCTAAAAACAGGGGATTCTTGGCTTCAAAAAGTCCTTAAATTTTCATCATGACAAATAATGGCCTCTTGCTTGTTCACTGGTCATTGTTAAATAAAATTTATGGGAACCCATTGTTTGGGCTGAACTCCTGCATTAGATTCAAAAACACAAACCAAAACACACTGGAGTCACTAGTGCTAAGTTCCACATAATCAAACTGAACTTTTAAAACAGGCCATATTCCTAAAAAGAGATTCACAGAAACCAATCAGAAAGGGCTCATTTTACCGTATCCAAATGATAAGGAAGTTCCTTCTGCTTTAAACCTATATGAAAAGTAACTTTTTAGCCACCAATGTTTTTTTGCTCCTTGTTTCTCCTTCCTTCTTTCTTTTTCAGCTTACAAAGTTCACCCCTCTGCTCAGTTTATTGAAGCACCTTTTCTAATTCTTTAGATGGAATGCTGTCCAACTCATGAATCATGAAGTAAACATCAATTAGATTTTTAAACCAAATTTGTTGTAATTTTTTTTAACACTGTGTTCTGCAAAGTTCAGATGTGATTATTAAAGGACCAGTGGAGAAGCCATTCTTTCCTATCTTTTCTAGGGTTTATTCACAGACCTCCCTTTCCTAAAGAGTTGTCATGTGAAGTCACCTATCAAAGTCATATGTGTGTTCAGGGGTCTCCTGCCTAATGCATTCAAATAGCTCTCATAGTGGTTTTTCTTTGAACATAAAGTGTTCATTCACTATTTTGAAGTTGTCATAAGATCTTTTTTTTTAAATCAGATTGGCATCTTATATCCCCTGTCTTCCCACATCATATATAAAAAGTACTTGTGGATATGAACATTTATCTTTATTTACTGGTAGTGACTAAGAGAAATTTTTCATTTCCATGATTCTTAGATAAAATGGAAGTATTTATGAATCTAACTTTCAGAAATCCAAGTATAAGATGCTAATATATAAATAAAACTAAGATTGAATGAAATTGCAGGAATATGTCTTGTCTATATAAAAAATCTTACAGCTGCAAAGTTTAGGGATGTTGAAATGAAACAATATAAATACAGGGTGTTTTCTTCTTCATGTCAAAGGAGAAAAGGCATCAGAAACAGGAAGAATTCATTTTAAACCAACTTACTAATGATAAGGGTCTTACTGTTTCTGGCATCTAAAAATAGATAAGAAAAAAAATGGGATAGCAGGAAGGAAGATAATTTGGGTATGTTACAGGAGTGTTTAATTTTTGGTATATATTGCTTAATGATGGGAATATGTTCTAGGAAATGTGTCATTCTGCTATTTCATCAGTGTGCTAACATCAGACAGCATACTTATACAAAAAAGAAGATTAAGATACCACTAGGCAATATAATTTTATAGGACCACTATCATATATGTGGAGTGTTATGCAGCACATGATTATATACTGCCCTTCATTTTATTAACTAAAAGGATCTGAAAATAAAATCTAATATATTATCTATTATAATGACATTCTAGAAAAACTTTTAATAGGTAACCATTTTGACAGTTTTACTTTTTTTTCTTTCAGATCTTTCCTTGGACCCAGATGAATTAAATAACATTGCTGCAAAATTTCCAGAAATTACTTATTCTTTAGATCAGAAGCTTCGTTCCATTATAAACTACCCCAAAGTTTCTGCTTCTGTCCACAGATATAATAAAGAACAGTTTATCATGTGGAAACAAAGTATAGGACAAAATTATTCAAATGTTATAGCAAACCTTAGGTGGCATCAGGAGTGGCTGAAAAATCCAGAGAAGTATGAAAATGCCATTAATCAGTGGCTTAAAACCCACATTGCTTCACAATTTGAATAAAAATAAGAAAATAATGTTCTAGAGCTACTTATAAATATGTTCATATGTATTTTAAATGAAACAATTTAGTAATTACTTTTACTTTTAAAGAATGTATTATAACTTAAAATGACAGTGATTATAGAATTATGTATTTTCAGAAGACTAAGTTGCTTAGGGTATTGCTATGTTGCTGAGGCTGGTTTTGAATTTGTGATACTACTGCCTCAACTTCCCTTGCCACTGGGATTACAAGCCTGTACCACCATGCCTAGCTATTCTTGCAGACTACTAAAGATTTAATGGAAATATCAAAAGGATGACAGCAACTACTATACTATACAGTTGTTACTCTGATTAAATACAGAATATAAAATATTTTAATAACTATTATTAACTTGCAAACCATAAAATAATATGTATTTGACAGTGTCTGAGTTATTTGTATTTGATGGGATCATTTAGATTTAATGAGAATATTAGGATTCTTCTAGTGTTTTCTTAACATGTAGAAATTTGTACTTTCATGTAACCAATTTTATGAATCTTTATACCCTATAAGTATATACAATTATAATCTGTCAATTAAAATAATATTAATTTTAAAATTTATGAATCTGCTTTTGTATCTTTGAAATTTTATGTCATGTTTAGAGTTTAGTGTTTTTAATATTTAAATCTCTGACCCATCTGATTTGTATTACATATCTAACATATTACATACTAACTTTAGTTGTTGCCCCCACCATTTTTTAACGACTACCCAATGGACCTTTTATTAAGTAAATTATCACTTGTTTCATTGATTAAAATGTTATTCATTACATGTTACCCTGGAATGAATAAATTATCTTATCCCTGCTGATTTCAAATGCCATTTTATCATATACCAAAATCCCACTTACACTTATGTCCTTTCTGAACATTTTATTTTGCAAAGAACTCTTCTATTTATTAATCTGGTATCCAATATCTGGTCCCTTTGCAACCCTTTCCTTTTTTTCAAAACTGTCCTAAATATTCTTGCTTGCTTGATTTTTCCATATAAATTTAGAATTTCTGTCTAATTGTAAAAATGAAAAATCTTGTTAGTCTTTTGTGAAGTAATTAAATTTATAGCCCTAGACAGAAATGAACTATTTATTATATCATTATAAAGAATACTGTCTTATTTTCCCTTTGTTCGTGTCTCTTTTTATAACCCTCAGCAGTATTCTAAATTTTGTTCAAATAGATAAGTTTCTCTGGAGGGATTTTTGTTTGTTTTTAAGAAAAAACTGATTTATTATGATCTAATATTAAAGGTAATTATTATTTCAGGTATATTATTCCATATAGCAGTATGCCTATATTTCCCTTTAAATGTCTTTTATACATTGGAAGAGTGACTATGCATTATATTGCTATTAGGATTTTTTTTACTTGTTTTTTCCCCATATTTTTATTGGTACATTATAGTTGTATATAATGGCGGGATTTGTTGTTACATAATCATATATGCCCACAACATAACAATGTAATTTGGCCAATATCATTACCTGGTATTTCCCCTTTCCCTCCTCTCCTTCCTCCCCCTGGTCCCTTTCCTCTCCTTTACAGATCTCACTTCAATTTTCATGAGATTCCCCTTACCACTTTTCTTTTCCCTTTTGCTCTCTAGCTTCCACATATGAGAGAAAATATACCATCTCAGCTTTCTGTGTTTGGCTTATTTTGCTTAACATAATGTTTTCAAGTTCCATTCATTTTCCTGCAAGTAACATTTCATGCTTCCTTTTTGGATGCATAAAACTCAGTTGTGTGTATATATACCACATTTTCTTTATCCATTCATCCACTGATGGGCACCTACTCTGGTTCCACAGTTTGGGAATACATGTATCACTGTAGTATGATGACTTTAATTCTTCAGGTTAAATACTGAGTAATATCATTGGTGGTGTCACGATGGGCAGAAGTGCAACATTTGCAGTTGAGGGGAGTGATGAAGAATGTCCATGCATTTCTGCCCTTTTCAGTGTTTTATTCACTGAAATCACTTAATATAATTTCACTCTATAGGTTCTTAATCAAGAAAATGACAATCGTTAACACTGGGCATTGCAACAGACATAATCCACTCAAAGCAAACAATTCAGGGTTAACTTCTAAGCACCGCAAACACATTTAATCATGACAGACTTATTACAGACATTCCCTCTACATGCTAAGCTTAAGTGCTATATTCAAAGTCTTTAAGTTTTAGATCTTAAGTCCAGTGGATGCACATTCACTCAGAGTGCAATGACCAGGTCAGGAATCGATAGAAGCTTCTCCTGGAGTGGAGTTGATGGCTGGCTGAGGAGACAGTCATAAGGAGAAGTCCTTTTCTCACTAGAGTCAAGAGGTTGCTATAGAGTTTGTGAATAGTGAGGATGATGCAGAGGATCAGGCAGATGAGAAGAGTTGGGAAGGCAGTCTAGGTCCTCATCAGGCTCTCAGGCTTGTGTATATCAGTGTCGGCAGGTTGAATGTCTGTTCATTTGCTCCAATATTTATATTAAATTTTGGGAGCTTCTGCCCACCCTTTGGGTCCCTATCAGCCATTACCAGGTTTCTTAGTGACATCTTTTATTCTTAGACTTAGGACATGTGGTTTGATGATTTCCGCCCTGACATTACACTTCTGACTCTCAACAGGGTTATGAGAAATGACATGTGACTTCACCCTGACTCTTACCTGGGTTGTGGAAAGTGACTTGCTTTTATCAGGCTATGTCTGATTGACATATTGGAGGGCTCCATGGCTTGCCTTGTGAGACTGCAGGTTTATTTTAAAATGAAGTTACTTAGACTAAGGCCCTTAAGTTAAGGCCATCCTTACAGGTGGTTCCATTCCTATCTTTTGAGGAAAAACCATACTGATTTCCATAGTGGTTGTACTAATTTACAATCTTACCAACAGTGTAAAAATGTTTCTTTTTCTCCACATCCTCTTGGGACCTTTAAGGAATATCACCCAGGCCCCACTCCATACCATTTGAATTAGAACTACAGGAGGAAGCCTGGTTATTGTTTTGTTAGTTAAACCTTGTAGCTAATGATCCTAATGTGTAGCCAGAAGTGAATTTATTCCTTATGTTTTATCATTTATTGTTGCTGCTATTTTAAATGAACCTTCCATTATATCTTTTAATCAGTTGTTTACATATACAAACTGTTTCTATATATGTATTGTGCATTGAAACACTTTATTGTTTGTAATAGCTTTTCAATTAATATCTTTTATTTTCCATGTAAAATGCTTAACTGCAAATAATAATTTTACACTTTTTCAAACTGTCTTTAAAGTTTTCCTCATGAGCCAATCCATTTCCTTTCTTTTATTTATTCTTTAGTGACTTTATGAGTTCATCTTTGTAGTTATTTATAAAGTTCTGAGAAATAAGTGGAAATAAATTCCACTTCAGAACATTATATAGGTTTTATATGTATATGTGAGGATGGCCTTAGGCCTGAGCCTAAGCAACTCCATTGTAAAAACTCCAGTTTGAAACCTGCAGTCTCACCAGGCACTAACAGAGCCCACCAGTATGGCTTCAGACAAGTCACTTCCCATCACCCTAATAAACAGAGTGAAGCCTCTGGTAGGCTGTCCTCACCTGATAAGAGGAAGGTGAGAAAATTAGGGTGGAGACCACCAGACCAGATGTTTCTGACCCCAGGGTAAATGATGTCATGAAGAAATCTGGTGGTAGCTGTTAAGGATTGAAATGAGGATCAAAAGCCCCAAAATTTAGTATAAATAATAGAGCTAATGAATAGGAATTCAGCCAGCGAAACAAGGATGCACTTGAGCTGGAGAGCCTAATGAGGACCTAGACTGACATCCCATTGTTTGTCATCATTTTCCTGATCCTCTGCATGATCCTCACCGCTCTCAAACTCTACCTTCTCGTCTGGACCCAGGTGAGAGCCGCAACTTCTCCCTACAACCCTTTCTTCAACCAGTCGTCCACTCCACCAGGAAAAGCCTGCCTTGGTCCCGGACCTGGTCACCACAGTCTGAGTGAGTGTGCATCTGCTGGACTTAAAGCCTAAGACTTAAAACTTTTGATCTGACTTTTGAACTTAGCATGCAGAGGGAATGTCTGTCATTAGCCTGTCATGATTAAGTGTGTTTGCAATGCTTAGAATTAATCTAGAATTGTTTGCTGCGAATTAATTAATCTAGAACTGTTTGCTGTGAATTGATTATGTCTATTGCAGTACCTAGCATTAAGGATTGTCATTTTCTTGATTAAGAACCTATAGAGTGAAATTGTATTGAGTGATTTGAGTGAATAAAGCATTGAACAGGGACAGAAGCACGTGGACATTCTTTATTTTTCCTCCTCGAGTTTTACCCCCTCGTGACAGTATATATATTCATTAATGCTGAGAGCCATTGCCAAGTAGGAATGACGCATCTCAGTTTCTTTGTCAGCCTACTCCATGTTGCTTAGAGGAAGGACTCTCCATGCTGGACCCAGGTTTTGCAGTGACTTTGCATGAAAGGTGACCTTGCTCAAGGACCAGGGCGAATCCGGGTTTAGGATAGATCAGGGTTTAGGGCGGATCGGGATTTAGGGTGTTCCAGGTTTAGGGCGGTTCCAGGTTTAAGGTGTACCCTGCTGGGAATAGGGCATATCCTGCTGCTTCAGGCGCGCCTGCTCTTTGAGTTCCCGTTGAGTTCTCGCGGGATTCAGAGAGTATTTTGGGATTCAGAGCCCGGTGGAGAGTGTGGATTTTGCCCAGAACGTGTTTGTAGAGTGCCGGTGTGAGTTCAGGAATAAAGAATTGCTGTTTGAATCTACAAGGTGTGTGGTGGCTCGTGATTTTGTGCCCAGCCAGACTGCGGCAATTGGTGGCCCAAACGGGGAACGTCTAAAGCTTAGAGGTAAGTGAAATTGCTCGCCCCTGAGGGAAGGCGAGAGAATGGGTGACCATTTCAAAAAACAATGTGTTCTTGTTTTGATTTATTTTGTTTTTATTTCAAGTTGCCTGTCCCTAGAATTTTCTCAGGAAAACTGGAGAAAATGGTTGACTCAAGGTTTGAAGTTGTTCGCCTCCGAGGAAGAGAAATTGTTAGAGGAAAGAGGCACCCCAGTAAGACCAAGAACAGTTAGGACATATGTTGATATAATACAAAAATGTAGCACATGGCTTTTTAAAGACGAATTATTAAGTATATCAATGGGACCATCATGGTATCCTGTAGAAAGATTTTTCTTCAACAGGAAAGAGATGGCTAGTTCTGTTTACTACATTTGTCTAAGATCTTGGTTTTTACAGATATCTGATTAATTTACAATGCTAAAGTGTTAAAATATCAACCATTAAATATAAAATCAAGTACTCTTTACTTATTAAGTTCCATAAGGTAATATATTTAAACATTATGTGTGTTTTCATAAATTGGTAAATGGAAAAAAGGTTTAATATTGATTTTGTCTGTGTCTTTGCTGAAACAAGGTTACTAAGTATTAAGATTCTATCATGTGTAATTTATATACAAAGAGTATAAGAAGTTTCAGTTGGGTTTCAATTATATTATTA